TGGACCAGACCATCAATAAATGTGGAATTTGGGGAGTTAAATCTCCTCTGGAGCTCAGTGAATAATTCCAGAGCCATGGAATTGAGGGAGTTAAATCTCCTCTGGAGTTCAGTGAATAATTCCAGAGCTGTGGAATTTGGGGAGTTAAATCTCCTCTGGAGCTCAGTTAATTCCAGAGCTGTGGAATTTGGGGAGTTAAAACTCAGTAATTCCAGAGCTGTGGAATTTGGAGAGTTAAATCTCCTCTGAAACTCAATAATTCCAGAGCCATGGAAGTGGGGGAGTTAAATCTCTGGAGCTCAGTGAATAATTCCAAAGCCATGGAATTGAGGGAGTTAAATCTCCTCTGGAGCTCAGTGAATAATTCCAGAGCTGTGGAATTTGGGGAGTTAAATCTCCTCTGGAGTTCAGTGAATAATTCCAGAGCTGTGGAATTTGGGGAGTTAAATCTCCTCTGGAGCTCAGTTAATTCCAGAGCCGTGGAATTTGGGGAGTGAAATCTCTGGAGCTCTGTTCGTAATTCCAGCTGCAATTTCTTCCCGCTCTCCGCTTTATTCCCTTTTCCCTTGGAATTCTCCCCCTCGTGCAGCTCCAGCCACGTCAGGGCTGAGCTAAGCCCGGGATCCTTTGGTTGGAGCTTTGCACTGGAATTTTCCCGGAGTGTTTCCCGGGAGCCGTGCCCGGGCAGATGCCGGGATTCGGGATTCGCTCCGGAGCGGGGCGGGCTGGGGAGGGGGAGTGGGATGTGCTGCTGGAGGAAGTGACATCCCTGCTCCCGAGCCTTCCGTGCAGGAGCTGAGCCTTGGAATCCAGCAGCCCGGCTGCCTTGGGAAGCACAGCCCTGGATAAGAGGATTTGAGGGATAAAGGAGGCGAACACCCCGCTCCGGAGGCTCCGGAGGCTCCGCCAGCTCCGCCAGATCCTTAAGCACTTCAGTCTTCCCTGTTTTTTTTCCCTCTCTCCACATCCCTGCAGGAACACGGAGCTGGAGACCCGCTTGAAACCTCCCAGGGATCTATTCTGGAAGTTGGAAAACCCGGAGATGCGTTAGAATTCCCAGCCCTCCCTTTCCTAAGGTAAGAGAGGAGCCCCTTCTCCCCGTTCCCGGCTTTAATCCGCGTGTGTTTGGGGCGAGCTGGAATTCCTGGGGCGAGCTGGAATTCCTGGAGCGAGCTGGAATTCCTGGCTGTGATTCCAGCCTTTCCCTAAATGGTTAATGTTGATCCCGTGGAAGAACTCGCAGCTGCAGCTGCACATGGCTCTGCTTCCAGGAGTGTCGGGATAACGGGAAGCGGGAGCTGCTCCGGCTCAGGGGGAGTTGGGGCTTTCCAGCCTAAATCCCGGATTTCCAGAGCTTTTCCTTCGCCCTCCTCAGACCGTGAGTAACTCCTGCAGCATTCCGGGCTTGGAATGAGCTGGAGGAGGTGAAAGCTCACCTTGGAGAGGTGGGAAGTGCGGAATTCCCTCCGTTTGGGGAGCTGGAGCTGTGTTTCCATGGTATCCATGAGTGACTCCGGTGGGAGGGCTCGGAGGCATCAATGGGAATTATCCCGGGCTCGGGAGAACAGGTCTGGGGTTGTTTGATGTGGGAAAGATGGTAATTCCCTTCCTTTGCATGTAGGATCTCATTATCCATGATTAAACATGGAAAAGGCTGGATTGAACCTGTTGTACTTGCAGGGAGGCTTTGGGATACTGGAAAATCCAGGGATTAAACTGGAGCTTGGTTTTCCATGGGGGAGGGGGTTGGAACTGGATGAGCTTTAAGGTCCTTTCCAGCCAAATTCCCTGATTTTATGATCCTATGACTCTAATTTTCAAATATATGAAATTTAGGGATAATTTTTATCCTTCACCAGTTTCTTTGGTCCTTGGGGTTTATCCCACAACTTCGGGAAAAGCCAAACTCCAAAGGGGAAATGCCCAAAGAAAGCTGGAAAATCCAGGGGTTCAGCTGGGACACAAAAGCTTTTCAGGAGCTGCTGAACCAGCCAAGTAATTCCAAAGCATTTTTCCAGGATTAAAGGCAACTCCAGGCTCCTTCCCAGGAATTAATCCAGGCTGGTGGGCCCCATCTGGGCTGGGGAAGTTGTATTTTCCAGGCTTTTCCTGCTGAATTCAGGCAGAATTCCCGAGGCTGGGCTGAGGTTTGGGAGGCTGGGCTGTCATTCCCAATCCCTCCGTGCAGGGAACGCTTTAAATCCTTTGGAATGAGCCCCGAGAGCATCTGTGGGAACAATTAAAATCTCCAGGAAATGAATTTTTCAGTGGCCGGGGAAATAGTTTGGGAATGAAGGTGGTGTTTCCTGGGAAAGCATCCATTTTGTGTCCACCCTCTGGAGTGGAAACCAAACCCCCGGAATCCCGTGGGATTAGGGGTCTGGAACATTCCCTCTCCCATCTCTTGCTCTAACTCTCCCCTCTGGAATTGTTTGACTTGTCAAACTCCTCGTCCTTCCCGGGCTTTTCCAGGCTGAGCTGCCCCTGGAATGTGGGGTTTAGGAACAGCAACCACACTCCTGGTCCCAGGGAATAAAGTTCTCCTGCCAGCTTTTCAATCCATAACCTGTCCAACATTCCCACCACCTGCTCCCGGCAGTTTTGGTGTTTAAAGGGGAGGGATTTTGGTGGTTTTCCTTCTCGTGGAAGCAACTGGAGTTGGGAATTGGGAGGGACAGGTGGAGTTAAGTTGATGGAAATTAAAAAGCCTTAATGTGGGAATTTTGCATGTTTAGGAGTCTGGATTAAGTCCTAGAAAAAAAAGCAGATTTATTCTCAACCTCCTGTTTCCTTGGAAGTGCTGGATGGTCTGAGACAGGGATTTGAAGGAGAAAATCAGGATCATTTTGCCATTGGAACTGTTGGATATTGATTATCCCGGAGTTCAGGCTTGGTTTCAAAATTCCAGGGAGGTTGGGAAGGAAGGGACGATGGTGGCAAAAATTCCCAGCTTTTTTGGAAACCTGAATTTTTGGCCTTTGGGAATTCCTCACATCTGGAGCTTGTTCTTGGCTGGGTTTAATTTGTTTGGAACGACATTGCAGCAGGAAAAATAGGGAAGGAGCTCTGGATGGAGCAATTAGGGATGTGCCAGAGGGAAGAGCAGCACAGGAGTTCTTGGCATTGGCTGCACACTTTATTTTATATATTTTTTTATTTAATCTTATATATTTCTCTATACTTTTATATCTTTATACTTTTATATATTTTATGTATTTTTATTTATTTTATGTATTTTATGTATTTTTTATATTTTATGTATTTTATATATTTTATATATTTTATGTCTATTTATATATTTTATGTCTTTTTATATTTTTTTAATATTTTCAATATATTTTTATCTTTTTAAAATAGCCTTAATATATTTTTAATATCTTTTTAGATATATTTCATATCTGTTTAGACATATTTTATATTTTTATATTATATATTTAAACTAATACACAATAGATATATTTTATATGGTATCTAATATCTACATATCTTTATATAGGATATAATTATCTGTTTAACAAACTGTATTTAATATATTATTAATATAATATATAATATAAAATATAATATCATTAATATTTTGAAATATAATTTTATCTTTCATTTTCTCTCTATTTGATGTAGAACAGGATTGTAGCATCTCCTAACAGGGTGTTTTGTGTCTCTATTCCAGCCCTTTGGATGCTCTGTGATAGTAATGATTTATAATAATTATATAATAATAATAATAATAATAATAATAATAATATCTCCTTTGGACCTTCTGGAAATAAGGCACCAAATGTGCTTTCCAACCCTTAAATAAGGCCTCCAATAAGCCACTAAATGTGCTTTAAACCCCTTCAAAAAGTCCCTCCATAAATCCTTAAATGTGCTGTAATGTTTATTAACCCAGAGCCTGTTCCTGGTGGATTCCAGGTTGGATTCCAAGCTCCAAACCCTGAGGAATTGGGCAGGTCCTGCCCCTAAACCAGACCTAAGCAAGCCCAGCCCGACCATTCCCTGTCAAACATTAACCTGGAGCTGGGAATGTTCAGCCTTTGGGGGGGGGCGGGGGGGAGGGAATTCTTTGCTCTGGGAAAAACTCTCCTCACGAGGAATTTTTCCCGGGAAATCCAGCCTTTCTCCCTAAAACCCCCGTGGTGCCAGGGCTTTTCCTGCCCTGGGGGGATATTATGGGCTGGCCCAGCCCCCTGGCCCTGCCCTGCCACCACCAAAGCCCTGCCCCTGCAGCCAAAACCTGGATTGCTGCCCGTGTCCATCCCAGAAGGTGACATTCCTGAATTTTTTTATTATTTTTTTTTCCAGAAGGACTTGGCAGGAAGGCTTTGGGATCAGTTAATAATTAACTGAACTAACAAATCCCTCTGGGAAACCCGCAGTGAGCCAGGGGCTGCTCCGTGCCCACCTCCTGCTTCAGGAGGTGCCAGGGATGCTGGGAATTCCTGCCCCCATGCTCCAGGTGTCCTGCACTTCAAATCCTCCTTTCTCTTCCCGCCATTCCCACTTTGGCAGAGCCTCTGTGAGGATAAATCCCTGTGGAAGAGGCCCAGGAACCAGCTGGAGGCTGGAAGTGCTTCCATGTCCTCCCTGAGGAATGTGGGAGCAGTTTCCCCAAGGCAAGGTCATGTTGTGGTGTTTTTCCCTCTGACTGGGTTTGGAGCTCCTGGGTGGCAAAAGCAGGAATTCTGCAGGTGTTCCTGGAACATGCACTGCATCCTGGAAAGCTGGAAATCCAGAGTGTTCCATGCCTGCTGACACAGAGGTGGCTGCAGGAGTGAGGGAGGACTTGGGTAAGGAAAGAGGGACTTTGGACAAGGACCTGGAGGGACAGGAAAAGGGGGAATGGCTTCCCTCTGCCAGAGGGCAGGGATAGATGGGATACTGGGAAGGAATTCCTGGCTGGGAATTCCAGGTGGGGAGGCCCTGGCACAGGTTGCCCAGAGAAGCTGTGACTGTCCCTGGATCCCTGGAAGTGTCCAAGGTCAAGTTGGAGCAACCTGGGCTAGTGGGAGGTGTCCCTGGGGGTGGGACTGGATGAGCTTTAAGGTCCCTTCCCACCCCACCCATCCCTGGATTCTGTGAGTCTTTGGCTCCAGCACCATCTTCCCTGAAAACAAGGAGGGAAGAGCTCACACCCCCTGTGGAACCAGGTGCCCTTTACGGTCCCTTCCCACCCGAACCATCCCAGGATTCTGGGATTCTCCAGGAAGTTTCCAGGTACCACTTTCCCTGGAAACCACAGGAAGTCAACCCCCCCCCCCCCTTTGCATCTGTGGGAGCTTGGAATGCAGAGCCTGGAATTGCTGAGCTGGGCACTCCACCCCCAGCGCTGCTGATGGTTGTGCTGAAAATGTTGACTGGGAAAAGCCTCTTTCCTTTCACTTTTCAGCAGCTCTGCAGCCCAGAACTGCCAGGAATGGCTTTATCCTGCACGAGGCAATGGATCCTGCTGAATGTGGGCAGGGAAACGGGATCATCAGCAAATCCATTGTCAGGGTTTCATTCCCAGCTGGGGCTCGGAAAGGGTTTTTTGGCAGGGCCGGTGCCAGTGCTGAAAGGAAAAAAATTCCCCCCAAAGAACCCACCTGGGAGGGAATTCTGCTCGTGGAGCCACATCTATCCGTGCTTTGAGGGTATAAATTGGGATAAAATGAGTAAGAGGCAGCAAAAAAAGGCACAGGAGATATTAAATATGTGTTAAATAACGTGCTGGGAGATCGTGGAATCATGGAATGGGTTGGGTTGGGAGCTTAAGGATGATCTTGTTTCACCCCCAGGAACTCCTTCCACTAGCCCAGGTTGCTCCAAGTTCATCCAGGGCTGGGATTTGCCCATCACCAGCTCATTATTCTGCAGATCACTGGAGAGGTTAAATTTGAGGCAGTGTAAGATTTGAGTGGTTTTGGCTCTCTGGAGGAAGAGCTTTCACCAAAATGAAGATGTTTTTACCAAAATGCAATGAACTCTTTAAATGTTCCAGTTGAAGCCTCCAGCAGTCCACAGGCTGAAGGAACATCCCCGCTGGATGTGGGTTCCCTGGATGGGTTCCCTGTTGGAGCTCCCTGAGGAGCCTCTTGGCTCAGCTGCTCCCACAGACAGGAGGGTCAGGAGGGAGGATTTGGAAGCAGCAGGACCTGATTTCCCTCTCCACTGAGCACAGAGAGGGAAACTCCAGTGTCTGAGGAGACTGAGCCCAGGGAATGTCAGCCCACACGGCCCCGGGGGATCCATGGGGAACACGAGCCAGGCAGGGCTGGAAGCAGGAGAACCAGGAAGGTTCTGGAAGGAAGACCAGGCTGGATGAACTTGGAGCAACCTGGGATAGTGGAAGGTGTCCCTGCCCAGGGCAGGGGGTGAGGCAGGATCAGCTTCAAGTTCCCTTCCAATCCAAGCCATTCCAGGATTCTGTGATCCTTGGAATTGGGTTCATCTTTCAGAATGCTCCTGAGAGGATTTGGGGTTGCCTTGGGTTGGTTCTGGTTGCAAGGTAGGATTTGGAGATACTTCCTAATGAGGGAATCCTGAGTTCCATTGGATTTACTTAAAGTTTATGCTGTTCACAATGCTTCTGGAAGTTTGCTTTGCTTCTCCCCAAAATAGCTGCCTTATTTCATCCTTCCTGTTTATCCCTCCTCCCTTTGAAGCGTTCCTTGCTCCCACCTTTGTGGGGGAGAGGAGGAGGCAACGCTGGAATTGGGATGTTTATCTCGGTATAAAAATCCACTCCTGCTCCTGCAGAGGAAAAACAGGGAAACCACAAACCCGAGGGGTTTTGGCAGCAGGAATTGATGGAGAAATTAGTAACAATTCAATTTGTTTGGGAAAAGAAAAGGATATTTTCCTGCTGGTTCTACCTCGCTCTCCCAGTGCATTATCCCTGTGTTTGTGTGAATACATCTCCATATTTATCCATTATTTAGTGACATGGGAGAGCTTGGCAGTTTATAATCCATTAAATTCAGGCTCCCAGCAGTGATCAAAGACCCCACATCCCTCACAAATCATTCCCTGTTACCTGAAACCAGGAAAGACAGAGGGAATCGTGGCCTCTTTTTGCAGGAAAACAGCCGAATGTTGGAACTTCTCTCCTACTTGTTCCTATTAACATTTCATCAATGGAATTCCAGGAGAATTAGTAGGTGAATCTCGGGATTCTGTGGATTTATGTTGTGCAGCTTCTGGGAAAATGTCCCTGTTGCTGAGTTAAAAGGGGGCACTCGGAGTGTCCTGAAGTCACAGGGAAATTCCTGCAGGTTGATTCCTGGAAAATGAGATGCAAGAAGAGACAAGGAGGAAAAAAACTGGGGGTTTGGGAGATGGAGCAGAGGAAAGTCAGGAAGCAAAGGTGCTTCAGCTGCAGTTGGATGAAGCTGCTCCGTTCCACGGCCACGGCTCCGTCGTGGCAAGTCGGGAGCCAAGGAAAAGTCTGCAGCAAATGGAGCTGAAGAGTCAAGGATTAAACAATCTCTGCTGATTTCCTGGAGGGTTTGTGCTGCTGGATGGATTTGCCTAAAATAAACTGCTGCATGCCTGGGAAAAAGGGCAGAGCATCCCCGAGAGCTGCTCCCTGGGGAACGGCTGGGGCTGCAGAGCCAGGGGTTTGTATCCCCCGTTATCCACCTTTCTGTGAAATGGGATTTTCAAAAAGCAGAGGAGGAGGTTCAGCACCAGGTTCCCAGTCCTGGGGGTGCCAGGCTTTTAGGGAGGAGGATTATCCTGGAGAATTCCTTGCCAGCGTGTTGGATGGGGCCTGGAGTGAACGGGGACAGGTCCTGCCCATGGCAGGGCTGGAATGGGATGAGCTGGAAGGTCCTTCCAACCCAACCCATCCCGGGATTCTGCCATAGGAAGAACAGGGGTGTTTGGGGCAGTTTGTGGGGTTTAAGGGCTGGTTTTCCTGCTGGGACTCAGCTGGAGCTGAGTTCTTGCCCACAGGGAGGTGGGAGGGAGGGACTGGGCAAACCTCGGGAAGCTGCTCAGCTTCCATAAAAAACTGGATTTGGCACATTGGCAGAGCTCCCTCCTGCACAGGAACGTTATCCAAGGCCTCCTCTGTCCAAATGGAAGTTACACAACGCTCTTCTTCTGACTCTGTAGTGATTCCAGGTGGTTTGGAGTCGGTTCATCTCCCTTTGCAGCCCGGGAGCAGCTGTGCCTGCGGATCCCTGCGAGGGATCAGGGCTGGAGCGTGGGCTGGAGTGTGGAATTCTGCCCTGGGAACCCACCCCTGCCAGGAAAGCATCACCCCCCGAGTGCAGCCCAACATCCAGACCCCCCTCATCCCACAGAACCGCAGTGGTCCCTCTCCCAGTTCAAGGAGGCGGCAGGACCCGACTCCTACGCTCCCAAAAATCCCCGAGGAACAGGTTGGTGGCATCTCCAGCCCGGAAGGCTGAGGCAGAAGAGGTTTGAAGGTCAGAGATGGACCAGTGGGAAAAATGGGGAGCTTTGGGAACCGCCTCCTGACTTCCATTTCCTACGTTCCAGGATATCCAGGTGGAGTAAAACCTTTCCCCCCTTGTTTCTGAGGCTCTTTCCTTCCTCGGGGTTGAATTCCCGTGTCTTGAGGTTGAGCTGCAGAAGGGAAACTTGCTGTGGAAGAGAGTTGGAGACTTTTTTTATTTTTTTAAGATAATTGTGATTTAACCTAAATTTTCAAGCCCAGAGTCACAGGATGGATCCAGACTCTTTTTTTTTGGCCACAGTAAAAGGAACTTTCAAGCTTCAAATTTCAGCTGTTGGACAAACTGAAAAGAGCCATTACTGTGCCCTCCACCCTCCATTAACTGTTTTGAAACATTGTGCAGCACAAAGAAATAACTTTTTTTTTTTGCTTATTTCAACACAATTACTGCCTCTTGAAAAAAAGGGATTCCTGGAGGGGATTCCTGGATACCCTTAGTAAGGATGAACCACTTCAACCTCCATTAGACAGGGCTGGAATTAGATCAAGTGCTCCAGGAAATGACAGAAATACCCCTCAAAAAAGGAAAAAAACCAACCCAAAAAATCAACAACCCCCCAAATTTGTCAGATTTTACCAACTGGGTTTGATCCCCAAGCCCTGGAGCAGAGAGTGTGTCCGTAGGGATGTGGAATGGCCTGCAGGGGGACACAGGGAATGCTGTGGGTCTGTCCCTGCTGCTGCTCTCTGGATCCTCCAAGTCCTGGAGTGGTCCCTGATCCTTAAAAACTTGGGGTAGAATGCTTGGAAAACGGGAATTTATTTTTCAAGCAGGGATTACTGTAAAAAATGTCACCAAAACGAGGAGTTTGGCACCGCGGGAGGATTTCACTGCCCGGCTTTCCCGCTGGCTTTGGGGATGAAGTTTGTGGGATTTAACTGGCAAAACTCTTCCACTTGGACGTGGCCTTCCCAAAGGAACACCTGGATCCTCCAGCCACGTCCCTGCCTTTTAACCTGAGCCTGAAGAAGAAACTGAAATATTCGGGAATTCTGTTCCTCCCAAAGAAAAGCTGCTTTGAGGGATCAACCCCGAATTCCGTTTTATCAACGAGGATTTTGTAGGTTCTGTGTTGGGCACTCCAGGTATTGGAGATGTTCATCCCAGGTTTGTTGGGAGCAGGGAACCAAAGGCTCTGGGAGGTAAGAACACAGAATTATTCCACCTTTTTCCAGGAATCCTCTTTGCTCTTCGCTGACCCCAGGGGAGAATTCCCTGGCAGCATTTTCCCTGCTCAGCAGTTGCTCTGCCCTTGGACTGGTGATTTTCTGTTGTTTATTCGATATTTAATATTAATCACCTCCTGGACTTCAATAATTCACTGTCAGGGATTCAAATATAATTCACAGTTTGTCCTCAAGGAGCTTTTCTGTCACTTCTCGTTCTGTTCTGCTCCTCCTCGTCATCAGCTCTGGAAGCTGGGAGAGAAAAACAGGTAAAAAATTTGGGATTAAAAAGGTAAAAGGTAAAAAAAAATTGGGATAAAAAAGGTAAAAGACTTTATTCCAGGCCTCTGTGCATTCCTGACCGTGTTCTAAAAACCAGTTTTAAGTTCCTGGTGTAAAATCCAGCTCAGCCTTTGGGCTGGACTTGAATAAACCCAGGATTTGTGGGTTCCTTTGGTCTCCCCAGCGCTGCTCCAGTGATCCCTGAACAGCAGAAAATCAAGGAGCAGGAGTTCCAAACATGTTTTCCAGGGCTAATTCCAGAGTCTAAACATCAACTCTGCTGGGACAGACTTATTTGCAGGATGAGGTGCCAGGCAGGGCTTGGTTTGAAGGATCAGGAGAAGGAGGCACAGGAACAGGGATCTCCTGGATCTCCTCTGTTCCCATTCCTGCAGCTTGGACACCCTCCCCTGGTGGGAATATTGAACATCCTGATCCTTAGAAAGCGATATTCCCAAAATGGGATCACACCCAGGTTCCCAGAGGTGCCCATTCCGTGGCCCCCACCCTCCCTGTGCTCTTCAGGATTTATGGAAAATATGGAAAACTTTCCAATGTTCCCTCGCATTTCCCGACATTGAGGTTCAGGCTCTACTGATTTATTGGTAATATATAGAAATATATTATTTAAATGTGGTATTTTCGGTGGTTTTTCCTCAGTGAAAATCCCTGTGGGAGCAATTTCATCCAAGGTTCAAGATTCCCTGGCAAAATCCCTCGTCCAGGACATTCTCTTTAGAAACAATCACTTGGTGAAGCTGCAGAATTCCGCTGAAAATACGAACTCTGTGATGGAGAAACTGCCTTTGGTTGTTCCTTCCTGGGAAATAAGTGCCAGGGATTTCTAAGCAGGAAAAATGAGGCAATTTTAGCCAGTTCTTCAAATTTAATTGGGATTTTATTTCTTTCTCTGCTCTGTTACTCCCTTAAACTCTGCTCTTTGCACAGGGAAGGCAGAAGGTGATGAAAGCATCCCTTGGGAATAGGGTTGGGAGTGGGATGTGCCAATAATAAACTGGGAACATCAGTGGGGCAAAACTGGGGGGGTTGGGGCTTCCCAGAGATTGGAGCTTCCAGGGGAGCAGAGAATAAGGGAATTGCTGATGGATCTCCTGGTGGACGCTGTGGTTTGCAGGGAATGTGTGTCCAGCACTTCCTGGGAGGTAAATCGTGATTAATGCGGGAATTAACTGTGGGAATTGCATGGAATTACTGGGAATTGCTGTCAGGAGGGTGTTGGAGGTGATGTTCCCGTTGGAAAGGCCCCACCAGGAACACATGGGGTGCTTTTCCCTTTGGAGATGCTCCATCAGGAGCATGAGGGGTGATGTTCCTGTGGAAAGGCTCCACCAGGAGTACAAGGGGTGATGTTCCTGTTGGAAAGGCTCCACCAGGAGTGTGTGGGGTGATGTTCCTGCTGGAGATGTTCCACCAGGAGTACAAGGGGTGATATTCCTGTTGGAGATGCTCCACCAGGAGCACAAGGGTGCTTTTCCTGCTGGAGATGCTCCACTAGGAGCACAAGGGGTGATGTTCCTGTTGGAAAGGCTCCCCCAGGAGCACGAGGGGTGATGTTCCTGTTGGAAAGGCTCCCCCAGGAGCACGAGGGGTGATGTTCCTGTTGGAAAGGCTCCCCCAGGAGCTGCCCTGTGCCCCCCTCACGCTGTGCCCGCTGTGTTGCAGGTATGGTGTGAATATGCGTTGCTTGGCAGCTCGGGTCAACTACAAGACTCTGATCGTCATCTGTGCCCTGTTCACGCTGGTGATGGTGCTGCTGTGGAACCGCTGCTCCTCGGACACCTCCGGCCCCTTCCCGCGGATCCCGCCGGGGCTGGAGCGCCGCGGGATGGCCGAGGACGAGCCCAGGCAGCACAGTGAGGAGACCTCCCCCCAGGAGCAGCAGAAAGCCCCCCCTGTGGCCGGGGCAGGCAGGGCCCCCGCGCCCAAGTACGAGGAGATTGACTGTGTGATCAACGAGGAGCACACCGTGAAGGGCAGGAGGGAGGGCAACGAGGTGTTCCTGCCCTTCAGCTGGGTAGAGAAATACTTTGAGGTTTATGGGAAAATTGCTCAGTACGATGGTTATGACAGGTTTGAATTCTCTCATAGCTACTCCAAAGTATACACACAGCGGGCTCCCTACCACCCCGACGGGGTCTTCATGTCCTTCGAGGGCTACAACGTCGAGGTCCGGGACAGGGTCAAGTGCATCAGCGGGGTTGAAGGTGGGTGGAGTGTTTTCTTCTCCTTTGGGGTGGAAACGCTGCTTGGGATTTGCTCTGCGAGGCCGTCCGGGGTTTGGGTTGGTGGGAGAACAGCCTGGGGTGATTTGGTGCAAAGTATGAGGGGGGAATGTGAGGGTGGAGAAGGGAAAACTGTGAGGGAAACGTTGGTGTCCAGTGAAAAGGGTGGAGAGGAATCAGAGAATCAATCCTAGACTCGGGTGGAAGGGGCTTTAAAGCTCATCCCATCCCACCCCCTGCCCTGGGCAGGGACACCTTCCCCTATCCCAGGTCACTCCAAGCCCCGTCCAGCCTGGCCTTGGGCACTTCCAGGGATCCAGGGGCAGCCACAGCTTCTCTGGGCAACCTCATGCCAAGTCTTCCCAGCTCCATAGGGAAGTGTCAGCCCATCCCTGGAAGTGTCCAAGGCCAGGTTGGATGAACCTGGAGCAACCTGGGCTAGGGGAAGGTGTCCCTGCCCGTGGCAGTGGGTGGCACTGGATGGGCTTTAAGGCCCCTTCCAGCCTAACCCATTCAGTGATTCCATGATGATTCCCAGTTTTCCCAGTTGCAGTGAACTCCAGAGGTGCTGGGACACTGCTCTGGCAGTGCTGCTACCAGGGTTTGGCATCACTGTTGACACTTGAGCCTCTCAGGGAGCCACAATTATTTTATGATACAAAGCATTAAAATATTACGTTTTTTAAAAAAAGAAAAAATAAAACTACAGAGTAAAAAAATTATTTTAAAATTTAAATTCGGAATTAAATTTTAAAATCATTTTAGAAGGCCAGCAAGCCTGGCCTTGGTTTCTGAGGAGGCTCCTGCTTCCCTGTGGACACGGATAAATCCATGGGCTGAGCGCTGCTGGCACCTCTGGAACAGCCCAGCTGCTCTCAGGCACCTTAATTTTGGGGGTTAAATCCGTGGGAGGAGGTTTTGGAGAACAGCCCAAGGGTCAAGCAGCTCTCCAGCCCCTGGATTATCCCTGGATAACAGGGAGATGCAGTCAAACCTTCCCAATTTGAGCCATCACTAATTAACCCTCGGGGTCCTCCCACGGCTCGGCGGAGATTTGATGGCAGAAAATTCTTCTTGGCTTCCCATTAAAAAATTAATGACTTTGTGAAGCACTTACAGAGTGTGCCACCGTGACCCCTCATAAATTAATGACCAACTTTCACTTAAGGAATAAAACCCATTAATTCTCCTGCCTCTGGTGCTGCTCCCGGGGTGTGGATTCCAGCTCTTCCCGGCACACGGACACGGCAGGAGCTGCTGGGCCTGGGAGCTACTTGGCTGGGAAGGTTCACATGAGGAGATATGTAGGATATGGAAGTTTGGGGATGGAGTTTGAGGTTATTCTCACATTTTTATTGTTATTTTCTAACTCTCGTCCTTGTTACACCTGGGAAGGAAGGGATGGAGAGGTGGGTTGGGAACAGCAGCCTCGGGAACACCGGGGGCCTGTGGAGCTGCTCCCTGCTCAGCCCTTGAGGCTCCAGGGAGTTTAACACTGGATAATGGGGTTGGTTGTCCAGGAATGTTGGGGGTTTGCAGCCTGTGATTTAAATGTGGTGGCAGAGCCTGCGTGGGGAAGGCAACAGAGCTCTGGGAATGCAGCAAAGAGGGTGGGAAAGGATTCCAGAATCCCAGAATGGTTTGGGTTGGAGGGACCTCAAAGCCCATCCATCCAACTCTCTGCCATGGGCAGGGACACCTTCCACTAGCCCAGGTTGCTCCAAGCCCCGTCCAACCTGGCCTTGGACACTTCCAGGGATCCAGGGGCAGCCACAGCTTCTCTGGGCAACCTGGGCCAGGGTCTCCCCACCCTCACAGCCAGGAATTCCTTCCCAATATCCCATCTCTCCCTGCCCTCTGGCAGTGGGAAGCCATTTCCTGTGTCCTGTCCCTCCATCCCTTGTCCCCAGTCCCTCTCCAGCTCTCCTGGAGCCCCTTTAGGCCCTGAAGGGGTCTCTTGGGTCTCCCTGGAGCCTTCTCTTCTCCAGGTGAACAATCCCAATTCTCTTACCAGCTTTGTTGGGAAGGGATTTTAATATTAAACCAGGTTCTCAGGCACCTTTAGGCTTTTACTTTGCACCATGCCAGCCCTGGAAGTTCTCACAGTCCTGTGAGATTATTCCTTTAACTTTTGTCCTCATTCCAGAGGCTGTGGCTGCCCCATCCCTGGAAGTGTCCCAGGCTAGGCTGGATGGGGCTTGGAGCAGCCTGGGATAGGGGAAGTTGTCCCTGCCCGTGGCAGGGGGTGGGATGGGATGGGTTTTAATTCCCTTCCAACTCAAACCATTCCCTCGTGTTCTGTGTTCCCTCCTCTCTCTCCCAAGGGGTTGTTCCATCCTGTGTCCTGCAGAATTTCACCTTGTCAGGTTGGATGAATATCAAGTGAAGCTTTTATAGCAAATTTCCTTCTTTTTTTCCACCTTTCACTCCCAGTGAGTGTCCCTTTAACTGGAAATGCTCAGCATTAATGAGCCTCCAGGGGCTCACATAAGATGGAATATTCAAACCTTCCTGGGATGGTTTATCCCATCAGTGATAATCATTAGCACCAACAAATGTATGAAAACAATGAAAATATATCTTTTTATATTTAATTTAAGTCATCTTTTCACTGTTCCACCCTGAAGAACAAATTGGTTCCTGAGCCTGACGTTGCCAAAGGGGAAATGGTGCAAATGCCAACTTGATTTTTCCCTTTCAGTGCCAAACGTCCTTGGTTTGCTGCAGGAAGGACCTGGTGATCTGTTCCCACTTTGGATTTGTATTTAGAGGTCGGGAATTTGTTCCACAGAAAATTCAGGACTTTAGGATTTAACCATACTTTAAATATCCTGTGTCTGCTTCTGGAGGAACATGTGCAAATGAGGCTCCCCCACGCAGCTTGTTCCCACTTCCTGGGTTTTCCACCCAAATCCTGGGAGCTGGGAAGGGCAGGTAGAGCTCTGCAGGGATTTCTGCAGGTGCATCCCAAGGATCCTGATGGAGGGTGGCAGTTTTATGTGACACTGAGCTCCTCCCCTGTGAAAACCCATAAAATCCCATTAAAAACCCATAAATCAGGATGCAGATGATGAACTCTGTGATTTTCCTGCCTGATTCCTCTGAGGTGCCTCCAGGGGGTTGTTTTAGATCTAAAATCACCCAAAGCCCAAACTAAGGGAGAGACCTTTGTGAGACCACAGGCTTTTGGGACAATCCCAGGGAAGGCTGGGATGAAGACAAGGGACAGCTTTGCGGGGTGGAATTAGGGCAAATCCTTCTTGGAGAGCCTGCTGGCTCCTGCAGGCACCACTCCAGGCAGGAACGCTCCCAGGAGAGCTGGGTAATGGGAGGGATTTGTGGCTGAGGGTAAATCGCTCTCTGAGCAGCAAATAACTCTTAGAAAAATCTCCCAACAACAGATGCACTTAATTTGCAAAGATTTACTGACGTTAAAGGGATTGCGGGGATGGAAAAGCGTTTGGGGATTAACTGCTCTCAGGAGCAGGGGGGAAAAATCTGTTCAGGCTTGGAAAATGTGTTTTGAGATAAGTGGGAGGCTCCAGTGACAATGGAAGGAGGATGGAGCCAGGCTGGGAGAGCTGGGGGGGTTCACCTGGAGAAGAGAAGGCTCCAGGGAGACCCGAGAGACCTTTTCAGGGCCTAAAGGGGCTCCAGGAGAGCTGGAGAGGGACTGGGGACAAGGGATTGAGGGACAGGACCCAGGGAATGGCTTCCCACTGCCAGAGGGCAGGGACAGAGGGGATATTGGGAAGGAATTCCTGTCTGTGAGGGTGGGGAGGCCCTGGCACAGGTTGCCCAGAGAAGCTGTGGCTGCCTCTGGATCCCTGGAAGTGTCCAAGGCCAGGTCGGAGCCACCTGGGCTAGTGGGAGGTGTCCCTGCCCATGGCAGGGGATGGAATGGGATGAGCTTTAAGGTCCCTTCCAGCCCAAACCATTCCATGAGTCTGTGAATGTAGGGAAGCCTGTGATAAGGATTCCTCTGCCACTCCAAAGTGCTGAGTTTGAACTAGTTATGGATCTTGGTGGCAAAGGGAACAGTTCAGTCCCTGACCAGGACTGAGATGGTGACCCCTCCACGCCCCGCGTGTGCAGGGGAGGCAGTGCTGGCTCTGCAGGAGGACTCAGCAGAGCTCCAGCACTGGGGGTTTTGGCAAGGTGCTGACCACTGCTCCCTCTCCTTCCTCCCCCAGGAGTTCCCCTCTCCACCCAGTGGGGGCCCCAGGGCTACTTCTACCCCATCCAGATCGCCCAGTACGGGCTGAGCCACTACAGCAAGAACCTGACGGAGAAGCCGCCGCACGTGGAGGTTTATGAGACAGCCGAGGACAAGGACAGGGGCAGGGCCGGGGACTGGGCCGTGCCCAAGGGCTGCTCCCTGACCACAGTGTGGGACAAAGCCAAGCTCACCGGGGTCAAACAGTTCTCTGCTCCAGGTGGGTTGTCCTGAAGGTGTCACAGGTCACCTGTTCATTTGAACATGCTGTGCCAGAGGAGCCTTAACTTCTTGGGATTCATGTGTTTGTTTTCATTTACCCTTCATTCCCATCCTTCATTCCCCATCCTTGATTCTCTATCCTTCATTCCCCATCCTTTTCATTCCCCATCCTTTTCATTCCCCATCCTTTTCATTCCCTGTCCTTGATTCCCCATCCTTGATTCCCCATCCTTGATTCCCCATCCTTGATTCCCCATCCTTCATCCCCCATCTTTCATCCCCCATCTTTCATCCCCCATCCTTCATCCCCCATCCTTCATCCCCCATCCTTCATCCCCCATCCTTCATCCCCCATCCTTCATCCCTATCCTTTTCATTCCCCATCCTTGATTCCCCATCCTTTTCATCCCTCATCCTTCATCCCCCATCCACCTCACCTGAGAGCTCACCCCCCTTCCCTCAGCCCCTCAGGGCCTCTGGAGATCACCTCATCCAACCCCTGATTCCCGTCCCTCTGGAGTTTTCCCTGTTTTCTCCCCCGCACTGGCTTCCAGCACTGTTCTACTCCAACCCAAAGGCTGGATGTGCTCATGGAGGGAGATGAGGAGTCACATTTCCCGAGCCTTCCAGCTCCTGTCCCAAAATAGCAGCTGCAGGAGGAGGTGGGAGCCGTGTGGGGTGTGCCAGGGGATGGGACAGGTGGCACAGAAGGGCTGTTTCCAGCCCGGAGCACGGGCAGGACCGGGAGCTCTCTCTCCCTTCACTGGGATACAACTGTGCTTGTAAAATTTAGGGTCTTAATTCTGCCTAAACCCAGGTAGAATTACAGAATATATTGAGTTGGAAGGTACCTCAAGAATTAAGTCCCTGAGGACACCCCTGTGCCCGAGAGCGTTGTCCAAACCCTCCCTGGGGCTGTGTCCACCACCCTGGGGAGCCTGTGCAGTGCCCAGACACCCTCGGGGGGAAGAACCTGCTCCCAGTATCCATCCCAAACCTCCCTGACACACTCTAAAGTTGCCTTAGAGAAAGAACAAGAGTGTTTTGGGGTCTCCCAGTTGTTCCCTTCACCGCGTTTCGCTGCCACCTCCCTGATTCCCCCTGTTCTGTTTGGTATTTAGGAGGGAAACCCATTATTTAATCCAAGAGTTCCCCTTGTGCCAGGCCAGGCTCATTAATAAGGCCCTAATGTATTTTCCCTCAATCAATACCCACTGGAATTAATGAGTCCATTACTTCCAAGGACAATGAAGTAATTTTCCGTTGGCACCTCGGCCCTGGGGCTCCCGGGAAAAGGTTGTCCAACACTTTTGTGTCTTTGTAGTGGATAAACACAGGGAGAGGGGAGGATAAAAGGTCTGGGCTGTGTTCTCTCCTCATCCTTTATTGATGGCTGAGTAATCCATGGATATGGATATGCATCCACTCCTCTGAGCAGGCCCTAAGTAATGGATTTATGGATGCTTAAGGCACAGCAGCCACGAGCAGCCTTTAGTTCCTTGCTCCTCCAAACTCTTTTTCCTCCCTCTTTTCTAATTCTCTTTTGTTATAATTTATTTACAAGGAACCATAAAACTCACTTGACAGGCACTGTGAGAGGGGGGAGGTTAATTAGGTTTTTTTCCACAGGAGCAAAATGTGGTGGCCCAAAGCGCTCGGTTCCTTCTCTCAGAGCAGATGCTGAGCTTAAAACTCCCAGCTTTTCCTTGAAAAGCTTGGAAAACATGACATTCAGTCAAAAAAATTGGGACTGGACAACAGAGCCTGTACAGGAGGTGTTTTAAAATTCCAGGGATTAGTTTGGGAGGCAGGAAAAGCTGCCCATGACGTGCTGGTTGCACGGAGAAACGTGTCCGGGGTATTTCCCACATCCCAGAGCAGAAATAAAGAAACAATGGCCTTTTCCAGGAGAGTTTTATCCCATGGAAAGCCCTTAATTTGATGTGACACTCTTTAAGTGTTCATCATCCCTCTGTGCATTCAAACCTCCAGGATTTGCTCTCAGCCTTCCAAATTAATTATCCTTTTGATCTCCCGCTGTAGGTTTTGTGGGAGAAGTTGATATTTTCAAATCCAGAGAACACTGGATTTTATTCTGTGGCAGTGCCTAGGAGCTTTATTTAATTTATAGCTTAAAATTAAGCTGAATTTTGCCAATGCAGAGGTTAAGAAATATTTGAACGCACTCGTCTTTATTCCTTGGTTTTTCCCCCCATTAAACTAATCGGGTTTTGGCTCTGTCAGGTTGGGAAAGAAAAAAATCCCAGAAACAGTCCCAGGAGGATCCTAAATACCTGCTTCTGGCATTCCTGGGGTTTTTTTCCCTTTGCTGAAAGCAGAGCTTTATTCAGGAATGTGAGGCTGCAGCAGCGCCGGGTTTTGGTGTCGCTGTGCCAAGGGAGGTTTTAATTTGGGAACAAAAGGGTGGTTGTTGGTTTATTATTGAGTTACGGCAGAGGAAAATCAGGGAGCATCTCAGTTCTTGCTGTGCCCCATCCTGGAGGAAAGGTGCTGCTCTAGGGGAAGGTGTTCCTGCCCGTGGCAGGGTGGGATGAGACGAGCTTTAGGGTCCCTTCCAGCCCACCCCATTCCAGGAGGGGCCCTGTGCCCTGCCAGGCTGGTGACCTGTCCCCAACCCCGGGTGCTGCTGGGTCATGGCTCCCCTCCATCCATGAGGTACCAGAAACATCCCATAAAACGCTGGATGGAGCCCCTGGCACTGCCGCAGCCCTTTAATGGGAGGCACAAACAGGTTCTCCCCTTCGCTCCCAGATTTACTTTTATGCTTAATTAAATAATGTGCAACAGCCCAGAAACGACTGAATTATTGATGGGCTGCCCTGAAAGCTTTGGGCTCCTGCCTGGGGAGGGGGGTTCCCCGGGGGAGCTGCCCTGCCCAGCTGCCGGGCTGTGGGGCGCTGAGCTGTCGGGTTTGTTCGCAGACACCAGCGAGGGGGTGTCCCTGCAGCTGGGGAACACCCGGGACTTCATCATCTCCTTCGACCTCAAGTTCGTGACCAACGGCAGCATTTCGGTGGTGCTGGAGACGACGGAGAAGAACCAGCTGTTCACGGTGCACTACGTGTCCAACACGCAGCTCATCGCCTTCCGCGACAGGGACATCTACTACGGCATCGGGGCGCGCACCAGCTGGAGCACCCTGACCAGGGACCTGCTCACCGACCTGCGCAAGGGCGTGGGGCTCTCCAACACCAAGGCCGTGAAGCAGACCAAGATCATGCCCAAGCGGGTGGTCCGGCTGGTGGCCAAGGGCAGGGGCTTCCTGGACAACGTCACCATCTCGGCCACGGCGCACATGGCCGCCTTCTTCGCCGCCAGCGACTGGCTGGTGAGGAACCAGGACGAGCGGGGCGGGTGGCCCATCATGGTGACCAGGAAGCTGGGGGAGGGCTTCAAATCCCTGGAGCCGGGGTGGTACTCGGCCATGGCGCAGGGCCAGGCCATGTCCACGCTGGTGCGGGCCTACCTGCTGACGCGGGACGCGGCCTTCCTGGGCGCGGCCCTCAGGGCCACCGCGCCCTACAAGCTGCCGGCGGAGCAGCGCGGGGTCAAGGCCGTGTTCATGAACCGGCACGACTGGTACGAGGAGTACCCCACGTCCCCCAGCTCCTTCGTGCTCAACGGCTTCATGTACTCCCTCATCGGGCTCTACGACCTGAAGGAGACGGCGGGCGAGAAGCTGGGCCGGGAGGCGCGGCTGCTCTACGAGCGCGGCATGGAGTCCCTCAAGGCCATGCTGCCGCTCTACGACACCGGCTCGGGCACCATCTACGACCTGCGCCACTTCATGCTGGGCACGGCGCCCAACCTGGCCCGCTGGGACTACCACACCACCCACATCAACCAGCTGCAGCTCCTCAGCACCATCGACGACTCGCCCATCTTCAAGGAGTTCGTCAAGAGGTGGAAGAGTTACCTGCGGGGCGGGCGGGCCAAGCACAACTGAGCTGCCACCAAAGCCGCCGGCCGGGTGACGGCCCCGCTTCTCTACGGCCCGTTCAAAGAAGTGATCCTTAGAACTGCTCTCCTGAAATCACTGCATTCCAGGGTGGGAACCTTTGGGTCCGAGGGGTGGGGCCGGGGAGCGTCACCCGTCCCCTGCGCTCCGCGAAGCGAAACCCCCCCTGCTCCTGAGTCTGAGGCTGGGTTTTGTCGGGTTTTAGTTTTCCTTTTTGCAGGAAAATGTTTGCAGAAGCCATAGAGGTCTCGAAAGCCCCGCAGGCCTCGCCTGAAGAGTTAATCCGTGGCCTCTTAAACTGAGTCTTATGTGTCTCTGTGGGAACAGCTCCTGTGGTGTGACGCCGTCGATGTGACTTCACTCGTAGCCTGGGTAGTGCACAGTGTATCTTTTAGAGGCGGGGGTGTTTTTTAATAGGAATTCTTTTCTCGGGGTGACAAATACACCTTTTTAAGTTTTTCCCCAGTCCTCTGGCTGGAGATCCTTTAGCTGGAGGGTTTCTCCCCAGACGTGTGGGCGGAGGACGCGCGGCCGGCGCCACGTAAGCACAACTCGGTGGGGCTCGCGGGGCCCCCGGAGCCTGAGCCTCATCACCCCCAGGTTCACCATCACCCCTCACTGGTGTCACCTCGGAGCTTGGATCCCTCCTCTGGAGCCTGATGTCCTGTCTTGGGTTTTGTGATTCCCTCTGAGAGGTTTCTCTGAGCTTTGGCCGCTTCTTTTTGGGGACACTCGTGGCGAGTTGCTGAGCGGGACGTGGAGCTCGTCCCGAGTCGCTCAGGAAATTCAGTCGGGGTTCATTAAGGTTTTCCTGAGGTGATTTTAATTTTTAACCTGCTCGATCCATCAAGCACTTTAGAAATTGAAGTTACCTCAGAGGGCTCTGCAGCTCTGCCTGGGCTTTAATTCCTGAGAGGTTGTGGCTGCCCCATCCTCTTGGAAGTGTCCAAGGCCGGGTTGGACAGGGCTTGGAGCAACCTGGGCTAGTGGAAGGTGTCGCTGGGTTGGAACTGGATGAGCTTTAAGGTCTTTCCATTCCAAACCATTCCAGGATTCCATGATTCACTGGCTTACAGTGTAAGGGGTCATGACACCTCCAGCAGTGGCTTCTTGGGTGTGATTTGCCTTCGTGGCTCTGCCAAGTGACCAGTGGTCCCTGTGCACATCCCAACCCACACATCCCAACCCACACACTGGGATGGAGAAGAAACCAGGTGGATTCTTCCCATTTCCCAGTCCTTTACACCCACATTACTCTGAGGTGTCTGGGGTGATCCAGAGGAGTCAAACCAGCCCATGGCTGAGGTTTGCTCTGACCCCAAACTCCCAGAGAGGACACGGATTGACTGTGGGGCTCCCACTGCTCCCATTCCATGCTGTCCATGGAGGTGGGGCTTCAGGTGTTCACCCAAACCCCAGGGAGGCCGGGCACAAGGACAACATCCATCTGCATTTGAGCATTGCTTTGATTTTTTTGATGCTTTTTGGGATTTCTGGCAGAGATTTGAAGCAACTTTTGAATTACTTGATGTTCCAGCCCACGCTCCCACCACACAGATCCGTGTGGGACGTGGGGGTGGAGGAGGAATTTCAATACCAAAGGTAGCAGAGGTGATTTTTGTTACATATCTGTGCGCACACAAAACCACCCTAAAAATGTGCTTCCCCCCCAAAAAACTGGTCCTTCCTGCGACATCTCCCTCCTGCTTCTTCCCTCCACCCTGTCCCCGTTTGGGAGTTGGGGAATCTGGAGACACCCTTTGGGTGCTGCTCGAGAGATGGTTTTGGTGCCTTATGGAGGCCACAATTTCCAATTTTTGTTGTTTTTTTTCCCCTCATTACATCCAATTCCAGGATTGGAGCGTGGCTGATCCGGCTCGGAAGCGCGAGCTGGCCGTGCCAACACCATCGGTCTTGTCCCACCACCTGATCCTTAACACCCCATTGCATTTTCTTGGCCTTAGCACAGGTGGAACTCCAAGGATGCCCCAGCAGAGGTGGTAGAACCGTGGAGAATCCGTGTGGAGTTTCTCCTGGCATTCCCTCAGTTGAGTTGTGCGGTGGCAGAGGATCGTCGGACACGGCGCCAACGCCAGCGGCGCCCAAACCTCCACCAAATCCATTTTGACATTTTTGGGGTTTTTTTGTCGATTTTCACTCTCCAAACCGACACACAGATCTTTGGCACTGAGCCCTCAGACTCCAGACTCCGATCCGAGCTCTCGGAGCCCCGGATCCAGCGAATCCTCCCGCGGGATTTGCCGTCCCCGGGCGCCATCGGAGGCGTCGCGCTCGCGGATCCCCCCCACCAGTGACACAAGCACAACCCTCCCAGCGGGCAGGTGCCATTCCCTGGAAGCTGCCATTCCCTGGAAGCTGCTCTTCCCACCCCCCTCCTCGTGGGGCTTTGGTTTGCCGGGTTCTCGCTGCGCCGCCGTGGCCGGGCGGGCTCTCCCCGTGTGGTAAATATGCAATAACTTGTTTACAGGATGCTCTGGGCAGGGTGGTCCTTTGTAAAGCTGTACAGCCTTTGCAGTTCAAGCACAATGTGCACAGTTAGTTTTCTATTCAGCCAAACCTGAGTTTTTTGCAGCAGGAAGAGGTTCCTCTATGTTTCTATACGATGTGAAAATGGGTCAGCGTTTGTGCTTCGTGTAAAAGCTGCTTTATAAGACTGTAAAATAAATTTTTTTATCTTAAGGCAAGCACGGGATGTCTTCTTCTTCTCAGCCCCCTCCCCTGTGGTGGCTTTGGGGAGGTTTGGATTCTGAGGGAGGTGGAAAATAACTCATTTTTTCACTGATGTGCTGGTTTGAGGTAAGAAGCACAAATCGATGTTCTCTGTCTGCTGGGGTGAAGGTCACGAGGTGGGTTCCTGGTGGGAGTGATTTCTGCTGAATCTGCTTTGGTTTGAGTTTCATGGGGTTTGTTAAATCATAATTTTAATTGACTGGTCACTAAAAACACCTGAACAAAAATGGTTGGTAAAGTAAGAAATTCAGGACTCTTAAAGCTCCAGGGAGAGCTGAGAGCCCCTTGCAGGGCCTAAAGGGGCTCCAGGAGAGCTGGAGAGGGACTGGGGACAAGGGATGGAGGGACAGGACACAGGGAATGGCTTCCCACTGCCAGAGGGCAGGGACAGATGGGATAGTGGGAAGGGATTCCTGGCTGGGAGGGTGGGCAGGCCCTGGCACAGGTTTCCCAGAGAAGCTGTGGCTGCCCCTGGATCCCTGGAAGTGTCCAAGGCCAGGTTGGACGGGGCTTGGAGCCACCTGGGCTAGTGGGAGGTGTCCCTGCCCATGGCAGGGGGTGAGATGGGATCAAGATCAACTTTAAGATCCAAAAGAAACCACTCCAGGATTCTCCCACTCCTCGGGTGAGAATATTGATTTCCATTCCTTAGGAGTTCGTTAAAACGCAGGGATTGAAAATAGAAGTGGATTTAACTCTGTTGCTTGGTGATGGATTTGGGTGTTTGCTGCTCAGTTCGTGGTGGAAGGAGCCACATTTCCCATCTGCCTGGAGTGACTGATCATCCCATGGATGCCTTGTGCTTCTGGAATGTTAAATAGCTGCTTCTCTCCTTAATCTCTTCCCCAGGCTCTCCCAGGCTGGCAGAGCTTCCCCACCCAAGGGCTTTGGCCCCGGGGACAAATCCCAGCAGGAATTCTTGGCCGGTCTGTTGTGTCCAGCCCCCAGGACATCCTGCTCCCAGGGCTGGGCTGCAGCTCCAGTCCCGTTTTCCTGCAAAAAAGAGGATTTTCCACTGGGCTTCAACCCCTCGGTGCTGGGAAGTTTCCTCTGGTTTGAAACTGGACTGTCACTCGTTGCACAAAGTGTTTTAAAGGACGTGTGGATGTGGCACTTGGGGACACGGTCCAGGGGTGGCCTTGGCAGTGCTGGGGGATGGTTGGATTTGATGATCTTTAAGGGCTTTTCCCACTTTAGTGATTTTGTGATTCCCTGGGAGGCACCAGGGGCTGGCACAGCCTTTCCAAGCGCTGGTTTGGGAATCAGGAGGTTTCCCAGGGCTGGGAGGAAGGTCCTGCCTCGGGCAGGAGGTCGAAGGACTTGGGATAGTCCCTCTCCCCGTGGCTCTGGCAGAGCTGCTCCTGGGCACAGGGATTATTGCTGAGATTGTGTCCATGATCATATCAAACAATCCAGAGTAATTTCAAAGCTTTTCCTGGCTCTCTGCCATCCCAGCAGCAGAATTCCAGCCTTTCCAGCTCTGATGCATCCCAGAAACCCAGGCAGGTGAGGGGGCACCTGGAGTCAATCCACATCCCGGGCCCTGCTTTGGAGGGAAAAGAGCCTGGAGAGGGTTCAAAACACACACTCGGTGCCAAAAGTGTGGGGTGGGCACAGAGGGAGTGTTTTCTCCCTGCTCTTCCTGAAATCCTGGGAGTTGGGGACCGTAGGGGGATCAGTCAGTGACAATCCCCCTGGGAATGGACGTGCCCAGGGCACAGCACAGCAAATCCTCCTTTTGTGCCAGGCTGCCAACACTGCGGGAGCTGGGGGTGATCCAGAGGCACCTGGTTATCCAGGATGCAGCTCCAAGGAGGAACCGTGATGGAATTGTCCTTGTGGTGCCTGGGACAGCCTGGCTTTCCTCATCCCAGCAAAAGGGCTCTTGATGAACCCAGCAGGAAACATCGGCTTCTCCAGCACCATCCACCCATCCCTGCATCCCTGGCTCATCCCTGGCTCATCCCTGCATCCCTGGCCCATCCTGCATCCCTGGCTCATCCCTGGCTCATCCCTGCATCCTCCACCCATCCCTGCATCCCTGGCCCATCCTGCATCCCTGGCTCATCCCTGCATCCCTGGCTCATCCCTGCATCCCTGGCCCATCCTGCATCCCTGGCCCATCCTGCATCCCTGGCCCATCCTGCATCCCTGGCTCATCCCTGCATCCCTGGCTCATCCCTGCATCCCCAGCCCATCCCTGCATCCCCCACCCATTCCTGCATCCCCGGCTCATCCCTGCATCCCCGGCTCATCCCTGCATCCCCAGCCCATCCCTGCATCCTCCACCCATCTCTGCATCCTCCACCCATCCCTGTATCCCTGGCCCATCCCTGCTGGGGTCAGAGCACCCCGTGTTTGCTGCCAGGGGTGAGTTTTGTGGGAGTTTGAGTCCATGGGATTTGGGGTTTGCTGGTGGGATCCAAATCCATTCCTGATCCATTGGTGCCAATCCCTGTCTCCGCCCCGTAGCTGCCTCCCAACGGTGGGTGAGCTCTGGCATTGGGAATTGGGCAGGAGCTTGGCTCTGGAGCATTCCCCATGGTGGGAATGGGAATCCCAGAGCCCTGGGAAGGTGTGTCCGAGGGGAATCTGTGCCCCAGTGCCGGCAGGGGAGGGATAACCCCAGAAATGGATGAAAGAGTGGGATTAAAGCACAGGATAGTGCTGGGCATCCACCAGCCCTGCTGGAATGACCTTCCAGCAGTTGATTATTCCTCTTCTTCCAGCTCCTTAATAATTGAGGATCCGTGCCCAGGATCCCTCTCCATCCTCCACAGCCTCCTGCTCCTCAAACGTTCTGAAACGTTTACAAAGGCTGCAGCAGAAACAGTGGATTTTGGGAGCAGAAAGGGAGAAACGTCCCAGGTTTTCTACCGGTGTGGGGAGAGCTGGAGGCTCCTGCTCTGGCTGGCTGGGGTCCTCCGTCCAGCTAGGAATAATCTGGGAATGAGCATCTCCCTCTTCATCCCTGGGAGGGTTGGAACTCGCCCGTCTCCTTGGGGACAGTTCAGCGAGTTTTGGGATTTTCCGGTGGCCCTGGGAGCTTGGGATGCACCGGGAGGGCTGGGAGTTAATATTTTTTCCTGCCCTTATTCCACTTCCTCGCAGCTCGGCCGAACTAATCCCGAGCCATCGGGAGCGTTCGGCCACAGTTATTTCCGGTTTTATTTTGTTGCCTTTTTCCTGTTCCACTCC